GACAGGAGGAAGGCCAGGGGACAGCCTCAGGACAGGAGGAGAGAGGAGGAAGCTCAGAGGTCAGCATCAGGACAGGAGGAGACAGGAGGAAGCCCAGGGGACAGCATCAGGACAGGAGGAGACAGGGGGAAGCTCAGGGGACAGCCTCAGGACAGGAGGAGACAGGAGGAAGCCCAGGGGACAGCATCAGGACAGGAGGTGACAGGAGGAAGCCCAGCAAACAGCATCAGGACAGGAGGAGACAGGAGGAAGACCAGGGGACAGCCTCAGGACAGGAGGAGACAGGAGGAAGACTAGGGGACAGCATCAGGACAGGTGGAGACAGGAGGAAACACAGGGGACAGCATCAGGACAGGAGGAGACAGGAGGAAGACCAGGGGACAGCCTCAGGACAGAAGGAGACAGGAGGAAGGCTAGGGGACTGCATCAGGACAGGAGGAGACAGGAGGGATCCCAAGAATCCACCATAGCCTGGTCTTCCCCCACAAGTGGCCCTTGTGTCCAGCGTACGGAGTTGCATGCAGTGACAGGTTGCAGTGCTTCCCAGAAGCACGGTGGCTCAGGCTTTCCACCTCTCTTCGTAAAGCCACTGCCTCCAGTGACCTCTCCCTGAGCACTGAGGCACTGTTAGCACTGCACACGCTGCCACTCCTGGACATGGACACGGCTTCATTTCCATTTACAGATGAGGGAAAGACATGGAGAGGTTAAGGATGACCTGAGTGACAAAGGTAGAGAGGCAGAGAAGATCTGGCCCGTCTGACCCCCAGAAGTCACCAGCTGTGCTGTAGCCTGATCCCATCTGCAGCATCTGGCCCAGCAGTAGCTCCTGACCACCTAGGGCGGTCACCCCCAGGGCGTGGGCAAGGCTGATCCTTCTGGGCTGTATGCACCCTAACTAGCTCATGGCCAGTGCTCAGCAGTTTGTTTAGAGAATAAATTCACAAAACTGGTTTAAAATGAGGATGATATAAAGACAGGAGACACTGCCTGCTTCTCAGGACCAAAATAGGAGTCAAAATGAGTCACCCTCCACCTGCTGGTCCAGGCAGGAAGTGCTCTCAGTAGGAAAACAGACGCTCGCCACCCATCTCGTAGGCACGGCTCCTTACTTTCGAACACCTCCCCAAGGGAAGACTTTTTCTCCAATCGTGGCCAGCACGCTATTCCAGTCTGTCAGGCTGAATTTGGGTATAATAATTTTTACGGGTGGAATAAATATTCTTCCATTTGTGAAAACACTGTAATAGAGAGAAAAACATTCATTAAGGCCTTAAATTTGAGTTGAAGAAAATCAAAGGAAACATACATACATGTATATCATTACAGAACTGAGAAAGCACCACGGGGACTGAGCAGCCCCTGGTGACATCCCACGCCCCACAGAGCACCACCTGCCCCTGCAGAGAGGTCTCCACGCCTGCTGCGGAACACAGATGCTAGCAAAATACCTGTTTGCCTAGTCTAACAAGCCCAGAAAACTGGACAAAACTCTCTTCCTTAAAAAAAGCTGCCTTCTTTATTTCAAAGCCCGTGCTTTCTTGGTGTGAAGAGAGACAAGGCTAGGGAAAGCTGGGAACAGTGATAAGTGAGAGAAGCAAGCTGGTTTGGAAAGCTGGGATATTTCGAGAAAGACAAAGAGAGAAGCAAGCTGGTTTCAGAGACGCCCAGGTAGGAGAGGGTTTGAAGATTAGCCTTAATAGAGAGGGGAGGGAGCCAGATTGGACTAGGAAGGAAGAGTGGAACTGAGGGTGTTAGGTGCAGGACAGGCTGGTCTGCAGGGCAAGCCAAACAAAGTTAGCTGCAGGATGACCTGGCTTCTCAAACCCTCTGTCTGGTTCTATGTCACCTGTTTGCTTCAAGCCCAAACGCCCAAGCCCCCGCTCAAGGCTGAATACTCAACCCCCCTTGGGCCAACAAGGCAGCTTGCAGACCCAGAGACCCCATTAGATTTGGGCTATAAAAACTCCCTGTGCCTGTTCCTTCCCTTTATCATAAAGTTCATTCAGACTCAGGAGGGTAAAAAAAATTCTAATCAAGTTTTTAACCAGCTTCTCCTCAGGGATTACCAACTCCAGCTACTGATGATACCTCCAGTGGAGACCTATGCCGAATGGACTGACATGACGTCCATTCCTGAAGTTATACCAGTCCTCTCACCCTCCTGTGAGGGCTCCCTACTTCGATGCCCACTCTCATTTAATAACAAAGATGGGGGAATTTGGGAGTCGCCCCGGCTCCAATGACTAACTTCCCCATCCCCCACAAGAGCCGTCCAATGGTGAGCCCTGCTGGTTCACATGATCCTTACCCACCAATCAGACTAGCCCTGCTGGCTCACATGATCCTTACCCACCAATCAGACTAGCCCTGCTGGCTCACATGATCCTTACCCACCAATCAGAAAGCACCCCATGCCAACTGTCAAACCATTAAACTGTTAAACTGTCATAACTGTCAAACCACCCCCAGCTCTATAAATATGCAGAGCTGTACCTCAATAAATGGGCATTTTCTCTGACCACGAGCCTTGTTCATTCTTTCACCTGTTTACATAATCTAATGAGCCCAAAAAACTGGACAAAACTCTGTTCCTTAAAAAGCAAATATATGCCCTCAACTCCCTGATGGGTAATACCAATGGAGGAAAACTATCATGTGGAGAACAGCACACCTGAACTACGCAGCCGCTTCCCTCCGGGAGGAGAGACCCGCAGAAGGCATGTGCAGTCCTTGGGAAAGACAAAGAGGGAACTGACTCCCTCTCGCAGTCTTGAGGCGGTTTCCCTGTGAGCCCAGGGGTCTGCTCCATTATCTGTGTTGGGCTGGAGGGGAGGCCTAGTGGCCTCTCAAAACCCATGGCAAAGTGATTGGCACCCCACGTCAATCACCAAGCCACATCAATCACCCCTTGACAAGTGTCAGACTGTCGTAGCTGGAACTAAAACCAGCTAAATACAAGGTTTACTTTTCTACATCCATCAACAATAATTAATATCCTTCAGCAATACACAATGGCTTTTCATTTTTCCATATCATTATTTAATATTACCATGATTTTATTATTTTTCCCTTAAATGCAAATAACTTAAGGCACATATGTCTTTTTCTCAGAGTGAATATATAATTTTTAATGTGTTGTCACAACAAAGGAAATCCATTTTCTCTGCTAAAGCTTTGTGGCAACTTCTTCCATATTTAAAACTGCCCAAAATAAACTATAGAAAGAAATGTTGTATGCAGTCCATGAATGCACAATTTATTAATGTTACTACCGCAACAAAAATCTGCACAATGTTTTCCTAATAAAAGTCTAAATATAGAATACTGATAGTAATAAAATAAATATTTACAAAAGACCACATTATATTTTTGCCTAAACTTCAAAGACATTAAATGTACCGATTGTATCCTGAGTGCTGAGAAACAGATGCACACACACAGTCGGACACAGTCGGCCTTCCTGAAGGATACTCCAGCCATACAGACCAACACAACACCAGAAACCAGGAGCCACCAGCTCCGCCACCTCATCCCACAGAAGTGGGGACAATGACTTACGGTGCAGAGATATTCCTCATACAATCACTTATAACCACAAGGATAGAAAGGTCTCCATGTCTCAGTACCGCAGAAGGTGAAACAAACCAGGACATGACGGTCATGCAGCCACCAGCTGTTCACGGGAATTTGTCCTTACCAGGGAGTCAGCCGCGTAACCAGTGTTAAAAGCTGAAGGAAACCCAGAGGCAGCTCCAGAGGGCTCCAGGAAGGTGCCCTGAGGCTCTGGGGGGTCTCTGTGGAGTGGGAAAACTGATGACCCTTTATTCACCTCCAGATTTCCACATCTTTCAAAAAAGGCAGATACATACAAAAGAACTGTCTGTTAACAATGCAGAACATTTTATCTAAAGAAAGAAAAAAATGTAATCTGGATTCTTAAGTTTGGAAATCGCCCATTCCAAGGAGAGAAGGACCCTGCACATCTGCTGACGTCCACTGGCCGCGCAGGCTCCACAGCACTGTCCAGGGCCATCTCCTCCCATGCGCCACCTGAAGCACCCTAGCCCTTTCCCAGGGAGTCCTCAACGGAGAGGTGACAGATGGGCACACATCAGATCCCACCACGGTTAAACCCGTGCCAGAGGTGCCAGAGTGTGGGGAGGTGCAGGACGCTGCCACATCTAACCACCATCGTCTCCAGGACAGTCCCTGGTGAAAGTGAGGCAGCACGCACACCCGTAGGTGCTGGAAGAGGTGACAGCTCTCGCCTCCTCCGGAGAAGTCACTCGGGGCCTGCGGACGGGGAGTGGGAGGAGATTTTAATTTATTACCATTTAAAACTATATATTTGCCGGGACATGAGTTGATCTGGCTATAAGAGAAACAGTCCCTCTGCCAAGCACAGCTGAAGTCAAGGTAACGGTGTAAACTCCTCTCAGTGCAATGCCCGGCGCACTGCTGTGTAGTCTCTGGATGGGAAACAGGAAGCATTTCAAATGGGCACTAACATATGGACAGAGGAACGGACTCTAGTCAGGTGAGCTGGCGATGACAGCTGCTATCTCCTCCACATTTACCTGCACACTTTATAAAATTGTCTCTGATCTTTCCAAAGAATCGGAGAGCAAGTGCTACCCTGTGATACAGATGCAGAAAAGGTTCAGAGAAGCTAGGTGGCTTGTCCAAGTCACACAGCAGCTTGGTGGAAAGGCACATGTACAGGCTCCTCAGCCTGAGGGACTCTTCCACTGCCTCGCGTTCCCCTTTCCCTATTAAAAACCAGGGAGAAGGTGTCAGCCATGGGTGGCTTCTCCGGAGTCGTCTCATTGGTGAGAGCAGAATGGAAGAAACCCAGGGGCGTTTTTACTTCTGCTGCCACAACTGAGCTCAGACGTCAGGATCCACTGTGACAGAAAGGAAGCAGGAACACGTCCTGTCCCCCTCAGCCTGGAGCACTCTGCGCCAAGCAAGAGCCAGTGTGAGTTACAGGCTGAGCTGACTGAGGAGTTCACCGGAAACCAAGGTCTCCAGAACCCACCCAGGAACTAAACAGCTCTATGTCGGTCAACGCCGCCCCGAGGACTAGCCCGGGCCAGAGTTTTCTGGTCTCCTGGGCCTGGGGCACTCTGCAGTGCTGCAGAGCAGTGACGTGCAGGGACTGGGTGGTGACCAAGGGTGCAGACCAGCGGCCTTCTCTCATTTTGGTCTCAACTTGCCATTTCCAAACCTGGAGGAGGAATGCCTGGCCTTATCTGCTCCACAGGTCATAAGGAAGACAAAATAAGGTAATGTAAAATGTTTTCCAAAGTTTTTTGTTTTTTTTAATGGCATTATTTTTAAAAGCTAAAAATAGGGTTTGAAACCCCGTGGAAGACAACGGGAGTGGTTTAAATAATAGCTCGTGCCAACCCTGAGCTTCCTTCCTGAGATCTGAAGAAGGTCTATCAGCACAAAACGATCCCATCCAAGTGGGAAACTCACGGCACAGACGGCAGCTCTGCCGCTGAACGACGGGACGATCTCCAAACCACGCTCGCGGACCCAGACACCTGCCTATGCTGCAAGGAGCAAGGATGTGGGCCGTCCGTGCCAGGCCTCCTGTCAGAAAGCACCGTGGCCCTGAGGAAGCTCGCGTCCAGGGCCCTCAATGCACCAGCTCAGGAGGAGGAGTCGCCCACAAACAGAAGCAGCAAACCGTGTTTCGTCTTGGTCCTGGGCAACGCACTCCACCTCCGAGACCACGCCCGAGTCCCCCACCGTCACAGGGGTGGATTCTGATCTCTTGCCTCATGCCCGCTTCTTTCTCAATCCCTCCACATTCTGTGGCCCCCCAAGCTCGGGACACTTCCTTCTCAGCTCCACCAGCCCCATGAATCTGCTGGGAAGGGATCTTCTCAGGAGCAGGGTATCAAAACGCACGGTGCCCCCAGCCACACTTTCAGGTCCCTGACCCTGCCCTCGTCCAGGGCCCAACCTAACAGTCCTGTGCAGCTTCCTGAGCCCCTCTGCCCCTTCAACTCAGCGCTCATTCAACTGAGGACCTCAGTCAGGTGTTAGACAAAATCCCTCCTTTGTGGGCAACGGACTCCGCAGACATCGCGTGTGTACGGACACAGAGCCCCTTAAGGTACAAAGAGGACCTCTGTTCGTGACCTCCCCAAGATTCCCTAATAGCACTTAAAACTGGGGGGATTTTCAGGCTCCACCAAACATCCCGAGGGTTATTAGAAAACTTGACACCTGTCCTTTCAGTCCATGAAGGGACACCCGCTAGTCCAGGATCTGAGTTCCGTAATATTGGCCAAACCCAACCTCCCACGGTGCCCAGCCCCAGCGCATCCTGTGTGAGGCCCCTCCCAACACCCATCCTTCATGGCCAGGAATCCGTGTTCTGCCTTCTCTGCTCCCTTTGTGAAAGTCCCCAGCACTGAGCTGACCACCCCTGGGGAAGCCGACAGCATTCCCGGGATCTGATGAAGCCCCTACCCACTTCTCACACACCAAAGTCAAACTCAAGGGATGCAAAGTTCCCAGGAAACGTCACTCGAATCCTGTATGGGGTGATCTGTGTTCTGACAGCTGTGGACCGCGTTCCTCATACTTCTTCAGGAACCAGCAAAAAGGGCTGCAGGTGGCTACAGACAAAGCTCATCTGCACTCTGTGTGTCCAACATCTGGGCCAGGAGATGTGGGCCCAGGAAAGACAACCTCAGACCAGCCTCTGCTGTTCTCCATTTCCTCCCTCCAGAAGCAGAGGACTACAGAAAGGCTTGGGGTGTCTGTGGGACTTGGTAGGATGCGGAGACCTAGTTCTCTCTGACGTGCCTCTCTAGTCCATGATGGGGAGTCACCTCCAGAACCTGCAACCTGGAGCCCCCATCCAAGGAGGCTTTGCAGAACCTTCAAGGGTCTTGACTTTCACCCACACCCTTCGACTTCCCAAGTGCTCCCTGCCTTTTGCCTTGTTTCTGCATGAAGTAAGAACCACAAGGAGGTTATCTAAAACCTAATGAACGGAGAGCTCAGGGACACGACAGGGCCGGATAGCCAAGTCACACCCCTTGCCTGTGAGCCACAGCTGCCTGACTCTGCTCCTCCAGCGTGGCACTGGCCAACGGCTGCACAGAGGGGCCCCTCACTGTGCAAACCCCACTGCTTGCTGAGACACAGCCTCCTGCACCCCTCGCCCCTCCCATGGGACCACTGCTCTCCCTCCCAATGTCAACACACACTGGGCGACACAGTTTCAGTATGTGACAAACAATTGTGACACCAGTGGGGACACAGCCAAGTGGCAGAGCTTCCAGAGCACTTCACTATGCTGTTCAAAACTTACGGACACAAAACACCCGTGGAGCCAGAGCCTCTGGCAAATACCCCCAACTGGCAAACACAAAGAACCTAAGTGGTTTCCAAGCCTCGGGCCACACCCTGGGACCCACTGGAGCCCCACATCCCTGGGGAGATTGTCTGCCCTCCATTGAGAGGGACAGCTGCTGGGGAGCACCTCCTAGGGAGTCCTGGAGAAGGGCCTCATGGCCAGGGAGCAGCTTGGACTTGGAAGGAATCACACGGGAAGCCAAGGTGTCTGGTCCACTCAGATGGCCACTGGGTGGCCGCCAAGACCACTCAGAGGAGAGGAGCACTCCAGCCGGAGACTTCAGCCAGCAGCCATGGAATGAGGGGAGCTGTCCCGGCACATGGGCTCCCCCAGCCTGAGAACAAGACACGGACGGTGCTTCCTGTCCCCGCCTCCTCATACTTGCCACCAGACTAGAGTCTGCTCTTATTCCTTTATGCCCCATTCCAGAGACCATTCGTCCTGGCCCTAAAACACACCCAACCTTTCCACAGTGATCCTCTCTCCTCCCCATTCTGCTCTGTCCTGCGCTTCATCGGGATCACCTAACCTCTGGCCGCTTCTCCAGGCCGAGAGACAGAGCTCTGCTGGCCTCAGGAAGCATGGGCCTGCCACAGGCCTTCCTGACTCACGCCCGGGCCACCCGTAGGGCTTGGTCACCTTCCAAATGAACAACAAAACAAAGGTCCCCAACCCTGTGCTCCCGAGGTTCCCTTACCTGACCTTTTCATGTCCCATGACAATCTAAGTTGAGCAAGGAGAGGGTCTCAGAGTTTTGTGAAAGAGAAGGTGGAGGAGAACACTGGTGGGGGGGCCCAGACCAGGACCAGACCCTGACCTCAGCCTCCAAACGGGGGCTTCCCAGCATCACCAGCTAACTCCCACCCAGCAGACCAGGGACCCCAGAGCCTCTCCACTGCAGGGAGCCTCAGAACACGGCTCCACAAGCCACGTGTCCAGCGGCCTGGGCCACCACGGCCAGGTCGGAGCCCTGTCCCTCTGTAATGGGGAAGACTCCCTCCTAAGCCATTTGTCTGTAGTTATGAGGTCTCCAAGCAACTGTGCTCAGGTCTTGTCTTCACTTCGATGGCTGTTTAGTTCCATCTAGTGGAACTCTGAGTCCACGATACAGAGATGAGCACATGCTACAGGAGAAAAGCTGCCGAGCAAGAGTGCAGCCTTGGGGACGAGGTCTTATCAGGAAGGACCCACAGTCACTGGGCACCCCACCATCGTGCAGAGCCTTGTCTCCAAACAGCTCTCATACTCCTGGAGCACCATGGAGACCTCATGTGTTTAAGTGGCTCGTCACGGAAGACCAGGGTAAGGTACTTCCAGACACGCTCCCGGACCTCAAAGGTCCCTGAGGGCTGAGCGCGGCTGACTGACAAGGTCTCCTCTCCGCTTCTTAGCTGCGGGGTGCGGGTCAGGCAGATGGTCCCCAGCCCCCTGCCCAGGCCCTGGTCCCAGGTGAGAGTCAGGCCAGCCCGGCCACTGCCAGTGTCCCGCAACTCTGAGCTCCTGATCCAGGACACATGCGACTTTTTCTTTGGGGGCAAAACATGGCAAAAGGGAGGAACCACCTAAACTCCCCCTCAGGGATTTAAGGTGGCTTAGGGCCACCTACAGAAGTCTGATCCCTGATGAGCTCCGGTGGGTTCTGGACAGGTCACCTGGGGCCATCCTCCCACCTCGAGGTAGCTGCCTCTGTCCTTCTCTCCCAACCAGGGAGCAAGCCCAGAGTCAAAGCACAGAAAGTCCCAGAGCCAAGAGGAAGAGCAGCAGAGAGCCCTGTGTCCAGTCCAGCGTGTTCAGCCACGACCCCACCCAGGGCGCTGGGCCTCACGGCTCCTGCTCAGTTGTCGTGTTCCGAGCATGCAGCTTCACATGTCCCCTCTCCGGGACACCTGGTGGGACGAGCTGGCTCCACAAGGGCCCGGGAGTGAGAGCTCACGGTGGTGGGAAAACGTTTCCTCTCGACAGCTGCTGGATTAAAAAACAAACCCACGACTAAAGCTCAAGAGCCCTTACTTCTCCATCCCCACGAAAACGGTGCTGTCAACACTGGCTCAGCCACTGGGCCACTTCCCTAATTCAGGGTTCAAGAGAAGAAAGAATGTGGAGCATGGAGAAGGCGCTGAGGGAGGGAGTCCCTGCTGCAGAGAGAGGAGAGTCAGCCGCGTGGGAGGCTTCTCCTCAAGGAGTGACGGCAAGGCTGAGTCCTCACCCACGACACTGTACTCACTTAATATTTCGGGAAAGGCGGTGATAGGACTGCCACCTGGAAGGCACATTCATGTCACAGTGCACCACTGGCTTTATCTGGAGAAAGAAAACGCAGGCCTTAGAGTTGGTTCAGATTAGCAAACGCTTGCCAAGCACCATCAGCATGCACAGTGCCACCCCAAACCTAAGTGAAGGTGGGATCTCTTGTTGACAGAGCACCCCAGAAAGGACCCCGGAGGACTCAGAGAGGGGTTGTGTGCTTGTATGTGGGGCAGACAGGACCCCGTGGGGTAGTTGGGGCTGCAGGCCACCTTCCCCCGTGGTGAGAAGCTCAGGTATAAAAGTGCAGAGTGCCAAGGACCAGGGTGACAGGCAGAGGGCCCCCAGGGGGCTGGCAGCTCACACCAGACACACCCAGCAGTTCACCCAACAAGCACGAGCCCATGACCTCTGTGCCACCCCTGAGGCTCTGCTGGCCAACCCCTTGGGTCCTAAGGATGGTCAGGGTGGCTTCTACTCTCAGGCCACAAGCTCTGAGCCAGACGTCCTGGCCAGCAGGTGAGAACAGCTCCCCCATATTCCACCACCCTTCTCGACTCTCCTGAGAACACAAGGCCGAGCCAACTCTGGCCTGTCACAGCTTCAGCCTTGAGAGACGGGTCGAGACCCCCCAGGTGGGAAGGAATGTCTGAGTCCTGCACAGAGGAGCAAAGTCTGCTCTCCCTGCTCGGTGGCCAGGAGTGTGCAGAAAGCAAGCAGAGGGAATCCTGAAGAGCAGCACTCACCACCCCCACCCCATGCTGCACCAGGACGGGCTGCCTGGAAAGGCCCCCACCTCACTGTGGCCTCCCCCCAACCCTGCCTCTAACCCCGTGGCTCTCTGCGGTTCCAGCCTGCCAGGTGGAACGGTGCAGGGCCCTTCTCCCTCCCATGCCGCCCTTCAGATCCAATTGCCCAGGTCCCTCCTGTCTGTCTCTGCAGACAATGTACCCTGCCCCCCACATGATGCAAATCCTCCCCTCTCCTCCTTGGATGATGGGAGGTTCCCGCCAGGATCCCACTGTCACCTCCCGAGATGCCACATCACCCTAACAGCACCACTGGCCAGCAGGACATGGCTGTTCCCCTCCATCCACAAAGTAAGCCCAGACCCCACCACCTGCACCCTGTCTCACTGTCCCACGCACCTGGCCACCTTCCTCTGCTCTTGGCCACTCCACACTGCTCTGTCAGGGTCCGGTCAGACACTCTGGAGGCCTTCCCCCAGAGGCTCCAGTCTCCTCCTCCACCTACCAAGCTCACTGCCATTGCTAAAGTGACATGGCAACAGCCCTCCCTTCCAGCACGAGTAGGACCAAGCCCAGTGCCCCTCACACCACATGCTTTACTCCTGCACACACACTCTGCAGAGATGCCCCCCATGCCCAGCCACCTCTCTCCACAGAGATCAGATGGATTCTACCCACACCTCACACTGCTGAGCCCCTCCCCTTGCAGGCTCCCAACCCAGACCTCACCTAGAACACTGGACAGCACACCAGTTGCTCTGCACCTGGTAGTCTGCCCTGCAGCTGAGTGTGACAAACACCTCTCTGCACACTCCCCAGCTTGACTTTGCCACCCACCTGCTGCCCGGGTCTCCACTGAGCCTGCCACCTACCAGATCCCCACTTTGAGGCCTGCCAGAGTTAGACACCACCTGAGCATTCCCTCAAGGCCTCCCAGGGCCTGTCCCCTCACTGGTCAGACCGTCCTCCACTTACCTGCAAGATGGGCACACGGTCCACTCATTTGGGAAGCTCGCCTGAACATTGTAGGTTGAGAAGTCACCCACAAAAGCCCCAGCCCAGGTGCTCTGGGTTCCACACACACTGCCAGGGGCAAGAAAGAACCCACACCTGCCCCACGCCTCCTGAGAATCATGTTCCAGAAGGAGGGTGCTCTGGGCATGTCTTATGGGTCCTGGGAGAAGGGCGAGGAGATCCAAGAGGACAGAGCCACTGCTGGGAAGTCTGATCCGGCACCTGGCTGCAGCCTGAGAGACCTCTAGACAGAGCAACCCTGACCTGCAGCCCTCGGGGGGGGGGGCAGAGCCAGGCCTGGCACAGCCTGGAAGGCTCTGGAGCTGGAAGACTAGGTCAAAACCCAGCCCTGTTTCCAGGAGAGCTAGTGCTCCTCTCTGGACAGCAGTGTCTGCTTTTAGAACAAGGATGACCTTATAAAGGGCTCATGAGAATTAGAACGGTTTCCACAAAGCAAAGGCAACCCCCATCACACAGTGCTAAGAACTCCATGCAACGAACATGAGCCCACACGGGCACACACGTGTGCACGCACGTGGAGGGAAGCCTGGCGAGAGCTCACGTAGCTCACGTAGGCATCTGAGTCTTATTTTGGCCCAAGCAAAATTGCCAGCTTTACCCACAGAAGGTCCCCAGATCTCCCTCTCTCAGAAGATGGTGCCACCAAGACCCTTTTGTCCATCTTCAAAATCCCTAGTGCCCACTGCTAAGCCCTCAGCCCCTTGGCAACTCTACCGCACACCACCCCTTGGACCGCTGGCTTCCCGCAGCCCCAGGCTCCAGGCTCCCACAGCCAACACGGCTCTTGCTACCTGGCCCCCGTGCTTTCTTTGCAGCAAGCAAGGAGCAGGCTTGCAGGTTGCTCTCTGCAGTGCCCACGCCCACCAGCCCATGCGAGCTGGCACCTGCTGCCTCTCCTCCCCGCGCTCCCCACCTCTGCACCCTGTGCTCTGACCCTGGGCCCATCCTTTCAGCTATGCAAATGCCACACCTGTCTCTGCCCAGTACTGGGCCTGTGTGGCTTGCTTTCTCTCTCACTGAGCAGCCACTCCATGTCCTCTTCGAGGGTCTTCCCTGACCAGTCACACACTCGGCCTGCTTCCATCACGTCTCTTCCGTTGCCTCGGGTTTTCCCGTCCGCTTGCTCACCCGCCTTGTGGAGCCTGACTCACCCTCCTGAGAGCGGTCAGATCAACAGGGGGCCCGCCGCCGGGGGAGGAGTGGCATGGACTTCAGGGCTTTCACAAGCACCAATGGAGGAAGGAAGAGCGGAAGATGCCAGGACAAGAGCAGGACACCTGAGACCGGAAAGGACCCCGGGAAAGAGAGGAGCCTGGGGACTGCAAATGCACCCACCCCTGTTCCCACCTGCCAGATGCCCCACAAGATCTACTCACCTGCGTCCAAACACTCATCAAAAATCAAGGCCACGAGTATCGACAACTAGCCTAACTGTACAGACCTTGTTTGAAAGCACCATAACAGGAATTATCCTCTGCCAATTCTATGAAGGGACAGCTGCCTTAAGAACCGCTTTCTGCCTGACTGAGAAACAAAGAGCTAATTGCTCTTTCGACGTGTTAATGATTCATCAACCCTGGTGTCACCTCCTAATTAAATAACTCCGACTGTTGAGGACGCCAATCTGATTTTTTTGTTCCCTGTACTTCTCATCAAGTGTCAGGTAAAGGTGGTTTTCTGCTACTCTCGGATGGTGGTGACAGTTTCATTCACACGTGTCAGAGCCACACTCCCATGTCAGTCATCTGTCCTGAGAGGCCGAAGGACCAGCAGCTATAGGCCTATTGGCCAAGGCACTAAATTTAAGCCATGAGAGAAGACACTGGGATCACCAGGGATGCTTCTGCCTGTAGCAGCTCCAGCTTGCGGAATGCCAACAGGCTCCGCAAGACTCTTCCACACGTTCATGCCTGATGGTCAAAGCAGCAAAGCCACCTATCCAGGAGGCCGAGGCAGGGGATTGCAGAGTGACCCAGTTCAAGCCCCAGCACCACATTAAATGTGCACAACTCCAGGTAGCAGCCAAGAACACCAAGACATCCAGGCTGCCCTGAGCCATCAAAACACATTCTATTACCGTTCCTGGCACACGAGTCCTACTGTACAACACAGCAGAGCGCTCGGGCCTGTTTGACTCCCGCGATCCCAGCACTGGCCGCCCTCCCAGCTGTTCAACCTCTCAGCCATCCTTCCTGCAGCAGTGCAGTTAACAGCAGCACTACCTCCCAGCCGCTGCTTTCCACATGGGTAATCAAACAAGAGAGTGCGCTGTCCAGAGCTTAGGAGAAGTGGATGCCAGCCAAGGGCTCAACTGACAAGAACTGCTCTGTGTCCTCCTCAGGCTCCAAGTCCCCGGTCACCTCCTCATGCTGTTCCAAACCCTCAACTCTCTCCATGCAAAATATCAAGCAAAGGCCCCGGTCACTGAGCCACCACCAGGGACTCAGCAACCTTCCCCTCGAGCCCCCTCGCCTCCCAGTGCTCTGTTCCCTCCCTGCCTGCCTTTTCCAGCAGCCAGCGTCCACGGGCCGTTTCCCAAGGAAAAGGAATCGCACCATGCGTCTGCCATCCAGAACCTCCACTCTTCCATCCCTCTGCTGATGCGAGAAGGATGAGGACCTGCTGCCTGCTGCTCTCAGGATTCTATCCACACGAGAATTCAGCAGAGAGACAGCAGAAAGACCCTCACCACTGTCCAGGGGATGAAAAGAAACTAGTAATTCAGCTGCTGGTAGAGACGGGACTGGCTGGGGACGATCAGCTGAAGGTTCGTGGGTTTTGAGTGCTTGTGGCTCACTGAAGCTTAAGTGAGGATTTCCTTGCAATAAGTAGAATTTCCCTTTTGTCCCTTGTCACAAGTTTAAAAGCCTCACAGCTTGTATAATGTAATGACTTTTGACTTGGACTAGCATAACTCATCCATGAAATAAACTGAAAAGAGAAAAAAAATCAAGCAAAAAAGGCTCAGGAGACTGTGGCACCAAGACCGCAGGTGGTAGGCACTTCTGGGGGACCCTCAGGAGGAGCCGCTGGTCAGTGGTGGTCAGCCTGAGAGCCAGAGAGACACGGGTGGAGACCGGAGGGCACCTTCACAGGAGCACTGTGGGAAGAGCAGGGTCTCTAGGCTCATCTCCTAGAGGAGGAAGGTCTGCCAGACCCTCAGTCCACAATGCCGCGAGTCTAGGGGACCATCCTCACCCTCTCCTGGGGGAGTCTTGCCAGGGCAGCCAGGCCCAAGCAGGGACATCAGGCACAGGGAGGCCAGAGCTCGCC